TTATATTTCTATAAAATTTATTTATAGTTTTAAATTTTAAATAATATAAATTAATAAAATAATATTTTTTATATAAAAAACAGTTGTAAGAACTTTTATTAAAATATATTATAGATATAGATACAAATACGGCTACAGTAACCACAAAGTTGAATGACTTTTTACTTTTCAGAAAGGGGCCCGAGTCATTCAAGCAGTGAGTCACCTCCAGTGCTTTATGCCGAGATCCCGTGCTGCACCCGCCCCAAAAAGTCGTTCTCCTTTCTCTCCGCGCCATCAGGAAGTCCCATTTACGTTACGAACACATACATATACGCATCCATTGATGAATCTGTCTGAGCACTGTTGCAACTGCCAAATGCAAATCTTATTCGATTCAGCACTCAAATACTTGATAATAGCCTACTCCTGCTGTTAAATTCCATATTTTCAGGTCAGAGATATCCGGTGTCCGGTGTTCGTTTACCTACTTATCCGTGATCAGTATTGGGTGTTTTATATAGTATGGACTCCTGTTTTTACTATCTTTTCGGATTTGTATCTGAATTTAGGCTTTTTATGCGCTTATGCATGCTAGATGTCGTAATGTGTTTGCTATGAACTTCTATTTTTTGTTTATATTTTTTGTGTGTTCGTTTGGTTTCACTTCGTTCAGTTGGTGTAAATGTGAGATAATACACTGTTGTTGACGAGACTAGTTAGTTTCTACAATCGATACTCCCTTCTCCACCCCATTCCAAAAGAAAAAGCCATGCACTGATATTTATGTTAAACCTATTTTTTTCTTAATGTAATCTTGATATGGTAGTGTTTACCAAAATTTTCGTTGATAATGTACTATTTATAGCACATATGGTAAAACTTAATCAATGTGTCAGATTAGTCTAATATAAAGTTAAGAAATCCACATCAATTTCTTGGTTAAATAACTGCCTGTTTTTTTTTACGTTGGAGGGGGGGCATCATTTGCCTTAATTTAATAGAATAACCTTTAGGTACTTAACTACAACTGCTTCCTGCTGGTGTGATCTAACCATGAGAATTTCAAACTGGGAAGAGCTTAATGCTATCAATTTGATGCTTGATTAGTTTGACAAAATGTGATACCTTTGTCATTATTCTTCCTCTGCGGGGGGTTGGGTAGAGGGGAGATGTATATTGCAAATTCGTGGGGGTGACGCGGGTCTCCTCACATCGTGGTGTTAAATCTTGATATTGGTTTTAAGCATTCTATTAGAGTATTTTTATTTATCTTTATACACAATGTTGAGAATAATTGTTTTCTTTCACCTCTATGGTCATCTCCCCTTCTTGATTCCATTTTAAGATTTTCATCCTTACATCAGGTGGTGGTAATATTGTATCTTTGCTCTGGTTTTGCAAGGTAATGCGGTTAGGTCCTTTTTCTTGCACATTCCTCTCTATGTTTTAGGTGCAATATGCACTGTGTTTGGGTTGTGCGTGGTGATCTGCCTATATATGAATATCCACTTACCAGCAGCGGTTGCATGTGAGGGGAGGTTGAAATTTGATACTGTTTTAGGACCCTATATGTAACAGTTTTGTTTTTAAACAAGTTGGTGGTTTAGTACAAAGTTTGATCATGCGCTAACCTTAGTATTCATAGTAATGTTTGTAATTTTAAATCTAAGCTTTGTTACAATTATTGATTCTCTTGACAGGAAACGATGGCTACAATCTCACTAGCAGATGGTGCCATCGGGATCCTTCCACACCATCTTTTTATATCCTCAGGTGTTGGTAGGCCTAATTTGTTCGTCACTCCCAAGAAATATTCTTTAACCTGTAGAAAGCACTCGTATCATAAAAGGTTCATATTACATTTCTGATTCAGTTTTTTTAATATTGGCAAATTTGTTAGAATCCAACATGTAGTTTTTGCAGAAAATTATTATACAAAAGTGACTCCCTCTTCAAATCAAGGGATGCTGTGTGCTGTAGTGTGGTATGTTATACTCCTTGTTCTTTTCTTTTAGCTATAAGGTAATTATTTTGAACACTGTTGTGAAACCCATGCACAAGGCGTTGGGTTGGCATCTATCATGGGATGCAAGCAGTTGCATCTCTGATTTCTCAATTTTATTTTCTAGTACAATGATCATGTCATTTCAATTCAGGCAGAGATCCAGTGTGTGCCTTCCCGGATAATTTTGTATATATTTTTCTCTCAGGGTGAGTCTGGTGAGGCTTCGATAGATATTGCTAGTGATGGTACTGTACCAGAAGTCAATGAAGATGCCTTGATGGCAGCTAGAAAAGCACTTTATGAGACACAATCCAGACAAGAAACCTTAGAAAAGGAGAGAGATCAGTTACTTAAGGAGTTGGCTACATCTAAGGTTAAGCAACAGGAATTTTTAGCAAAAGTAATGGATGAAAAGAAAATGGCAATCAAGGCAGCGGAAAAATTGTTTAAGAAAAAGCTGAAGGATTCAGTAAATAAAAATTTCAACCTGGAATCCAAATTGGTCCTTGCAAAACAAGATGCTGTAGAACTTGCAGTGAAAGTTGAAAAATTAGCCGAGATTGCATTTCAACAGGCAACATCTGACATATTAGGGGACACACAGCTGAACATCTTGGCTGCAGAAACTTCTGCAGTTGAAACAGCCTATCAGGTTGAAGAAGAAAATGAGACTGGGAGATTGGTGCTAGAAGCAGAAAGGAAGAAGGCTTCTTCGAAGAATTTGAAGGTCGAAGTGGAAGCAACCAAAGGTTCAGTTGAATCCTCTAATGAGGTAGCACCATTGAAAGATGAGGCATATACGAGAAGATATGAAACTCTGCATAGGGCACCAAAAGCAGCTGAATCTGCTTCGAAGATATGGAGGCAAAGAGCAGAACTTGCAGAGCCTGTCTTTCCAAAGAGCCGACTGCTAGATGAAAGGGATGAAGATGCAATAGTTGTTGGTGGAAGATTAGCTCTTCTAATTGATGATGATTCTCAGAAATCGAAGCTGCTTAGTGATGGTCCTCGTAGAGAGATACCAGACTGGATGGCGCGAAGGATAGGTTCTGTTCGTCCTAAGTTTCCTCCTAGAAAGATTAACATTTCTGAAGCCAATACATCAAAATTTAAGTCTCTGGAATTGCCTAATCCTGCTGAAGTATGGTCAGTTGCACAAGCAAAGCCAAAATATGGGGACACCCTAATTGAACATGTAATTGAGAAAGAGTTCATCGAGAAGAAACGGAAGGCTTTAGAGCGTGCCCTGCAACGAAAAACGATTCAATATCAGAAGACTCCTGAAGAAATAACACTAGGTGTTCTTTTTCTTTCATCTCTTAGCTTTAGTCAAAATATCTTTCTTATCTAATATGCTTATCGTGGTAATGAGTGAGACACATGGTTGTGTGTTATATGACTTGTTCTTTATTTCACAGAGCCAGGAACTGGCACAGGACGTGAGATTGTGGTTAGTAACTTGGTATAAATTGGCTACAACTTTTTGTTCTTTCATGGATCTCTAATGAAGTTGTGCATTATTTTCATCACTGAAAGTTTCAAGGTTTCAATTGGGAAAGCTGTAGAAGAAGGTGGTACCTGGATCTGGCTCCAAAAGCTGCAGATTTATCTCGCTGTGGGATAACGGCAGTGTGGCTACCTCCGCCAACTGAATCTGTTGCTCCACAAGGTCTTTCATAAGCTTACAAATTCATTTTCATCCCTTGCTGCCAAACACAGTATAGCAAAAGGAAACTGAATTTAAGGGATACATGACTTGATACATAACAATATTAATATATCTCATGGAATGACTCCAGGGTATATGCCTTCTGATCTCTACAACTTGAACTCAGCATATGGTACCCAGGAGGAGCTGAAGTATTGCATAGAGGAGATGCACAATCAACATCTTCTGGTATTGTTTTGAAAAGAAATTATAGCTAGCAGACTGTTAGAAAAGAGTCTTTAACTGCATTTATTATAACCTATTTTTACAACTTCATTGATTACTTTTTGTGGCCATACTGTTAAAATCTCCATTTCCTGGAAGTTGGAATACAAGAGTTGTTATGTACAAGTCTGTCGTTTTAAGGGTCCGCCATTTCAAATAGTTAAGATTGATCAATCCAGAGCAGGAACAATCTTTCTTCTATATATATATATATATATATATATATATATATATATATATATATATATATCAATTTGGGTTGAGGAAAATATGACTGGTTATTGAGGAAAAAGAAGAGAAAATGAATCAAAGCTACCGGAGGAACACCTGGTGTGTTCGGAATGCATATTTTTCATTACACGTGGTGGCAGCTGATGGTATATAAATATGCTTCATGTTTTACAGGCCTTGGGAGATGTTGTACTAAATCACCGATGTGCTCATAAACAGGTAAACTATGTATAGATTGTATTTGATTGGGTTATTAACCATGTTGTCTCGTTGTATAGTTTTGGTGCTTCAAGTTCATCCCCCCTAAAGACTTGATGAGTTTTTACATGCTTCTCTAAATGAAAAAAGTAGCCATCTTCTGCTCTTTTGCACTAGATTATGCCAATCCTGGTTTCTCGCACTATGCAGTTAACAGCAGAACCTCTGCCTGCATGATGCAGAAGTAATGAGGGATATTTGGTATTATTTTATTCTGTTTATATTCATATTTTTACTAATGACAGAGTGCGAATGGAGTATGGAACATTTTTGGCGGCAAGCTTGCTTGGGGACCTGAAGCAATTGTTTGCGATGATCCAAATTTCCAGGGTCGTGGAAATCCTTCAAGTGGTATGAATATATCGTTTACAAACAATTATATGTAATTCCTCGCATCATTTCTACTAGTTTATGCTTGTAGTTACCATGAATATGGATTATATTTAAATATGTAACAGAACCTAGCTATCAAGTCAGGTTTTATCCTTTATTCATTCTCTTTATTCAGTTGCTTAGGTTTTTATTTTATATTGATGTAATCCCTTCTCATCTGCTGATTAGTCTGCTCATGAGTGCATCTATCATATTATATCTCGAAACTGCTTTTACTGCTCGCTCGTCTTTTTTAAGTTTATGGTTTCTACCTCTCACCAATTTAAAACTTCTGATTCAAACTTGACCCAATTGTAGACCATGTTGATTCTTAGTTGCCTACAATGGGATAAAGCTGGTTTTGAGCCAGAGCTATCCATATTTGGATTTCCCTTTTATTGACTGGGTGCACGGTCATGCTGCCTTATATATTTTTATTTATTGCAGGTGACATCTTTCATGCAGCACCAAACATCGATCATTCACAGGATTTTGTACGAGAAGACGTAAAACAGTGGCTGAACTGGCTCCGGAACAATATTGGTTATGATGGGTGGCGCCTTGACTTTGTGAGGTGAAGTCTCTTCTGGTTCCTTTTCTTACAATAATGCCAGCCTAGTTTGCTATTATTACATGTAGATTAATTTCTTTCACCTCAAAGAAACGTTCTTTTCGGTTTAATGATCTCATGTCTGGGTCTTTCTGCTTCTTTTTAGCATGTTACGCATGCCAGTGAGATATCTACACTTTGTTATTGGAGAGTTGGTTATAACATTGCGTGCAATCTAGCTCTAGCTTGTGATCCCTACGTTAGTAAAGTCAAACCTAGTTTAAGAGGACTTGAATTGCTGCAATTATTTTCCGTGATACTAGTCTTAGAATTAGGCCTTGTCAATCCACTATGCTTGCTCATTAATAAACTAATTCAAGACTGATTTAAACACAGCTAAAATCTGTTGCTATTCTTGTTCTGCAGTCTTTTGGAGATCATTTATTTTTTTCTTCATACATGTCCATATATGCAGATTTTGCTTACTCCTATTATTTTTCTCACAGGGGATTCTCAGGTGGATATGTGAAAGAATACATCGAAGCTTCAAATCCCGCATTTGCCATTGGAGAATATTGGGATAGTCTGGCTTATGAAGGTGGTAATCTATGCTACAACCAAGGTAACTTGCAGATAACAGGAACATAAAAAATTAAAACTTAAAAGGTTAACCTTTTCTAGATGTGCATGTGCTATATGTTTGATTTAGTCGTTGTCTTCGCATTTATTCATTATTAAGTCACACTTAGTAGCTGATTTTGATTATACGTGCTCAGATGCACATCGTCAACGTGTGATTAACTGGATCAATGCCACTGGTGGTACCTCATCTGCATTTGACGTAACAACAAAGGTAACTACTTAGGTTGAGCTTATAATAGCATTTTTTTTTAAGAAAAAATCGATACAACTTTTATGCTAGAGTTCTACCAAATACTCAGCGTTGTAAGTACTCCATCCCCAACTAGTTGCACTCATCTCCTTCATATGCCTGAAATAAATATAGCATAATATTGCGCATGCTGAGAGGTTCTTATCATCATCAAAGTTCTCGTTATGAAGAAGTTGCATGCAGACTTTTCAATTGGTTTGTTAATATGCATCTTCAAGCAAAATCTGGGTGTCTCTGGTTTTTATAACGTGAACTACTGCCTGTAAGACTGCAACTCTATCAATATATTTTCTGGTTATATTCTCATATGTAAGAAAATAGAGTTAGGTTATCGGCCGGATTACCAGTCCAATATTGTATAACATATTTCATTTTTACGATTACTAACATACAATAACTTGGGAAACCACTCTTGAAACCCCTTGAAGGAATTTTTTTCCTTGCATACTCGATAGTTTTATAAAAAGAGAGCTGAGATTAGAAAGCAAACTCACCTTGTTTAGTGATTGTACTCTGCAGGGAATTCTACATTCTGCATTGCATAATCAGTATTGGAGATTGATAGATCCTCATGGAAAACCAACAGGAGTAATGGGATGGTGGCCCTCACGTGCTGTCACTTTCTTGGAGAACCATGATACTGGATCAACACAGGTCTGCTCTTTCTCACATCCATGAGGCTCTAAACTGTTGTGTTTTGGTCTATGGCTATAGAAGACGAAAATCCGGTCTTCCTTTTATCGCAATGGTTTAGAGTGTGTGAAGATTACATTGATCGAAGGAGTTCTCATGGCTATTCTGTTACAGGGTCATTGGCCATTCCCACGTGATAAGCTTATGCAAGGATATGCATACATCTTAACTCATCCTGGAACGGTAAGTTCATCTGAAACCAATGTAAAGTTCTGTTTGGCATGCTGGATGGGAAGGGTTAGAACAGAACAAAAACTTGTCGTTCCCTGGTACGGGAAGGGACTGGACTGGACTGGACTGGACTCAGTGGGACAAAAATGCATTTTTTCTGTCCCACCAAAATAGGGGAAACTATAATCAAGGAGATGAAACAAGCTTGGTTGTGTCAAATTAAAAATCTAATTGTAACACCCCCATTCCGAAGGAAGGGAGGTTACTTCAAAACGTAA